GAAGGGTGACTGCAGGACGGCTGTGATTACAGTTACGTGGAAACCGTATCTGCGCACGGAAAACAGCGGGCGGCTGGTGGCACGCGCGGGAGACTCAAGGCCGAGGGTGGGGTCAAGCCCCCAGCTCTGCCATTCGCTTTGGCCTTGGGACCCTCTGCGCCTCCATTTTCCTTATCTGTGAACCTCAGAATAGCTTACCACCACGTTTGGGGTTTAAGGGGACCGTGTTTATAATCCTCAGGCCAGGAGGACTCAGAAAGGCACACATTAGGGGCTCAAGAAGGGCAGCTGCCAGTGGGTTTTATAACAGGGACAAATGGAAATAGTTTGACAGGACCGGGGGAAACACCTGTGGGAGACCAGCAGCCAACTTCACGTCGCTTAAAAAGGGCCCCCATAAGCCACTGCTGCACAAGCCACACCGGCTCCCCCTCCCCCCACCCCCGCCAACCCGAAAAAAACCTCTAAAGCCTTTGAAAACTATCCCCTGGCTTTCTGGGGTCTCTGATTTCCACCTTGCCTGTCACAGGAGCTGTTTCTTTTCTCGCTGCTGGGACCCTCTCTAACCAGGGGGAGTTCACCCAGGCCGAGGCGGGGAGGGGCATTTGCAGACCATTTGCAGACCGGAACAGGTGGGGCCTGGCTTTGGAAGTGGGAGCCGCGTTCCGCGGATTCCTGCCGGGCGCTCCGCCCAGCCTGGCTGCGGGCCGGGCCGGTGCCCGCAGCGCCCAGCTCCACCTGGAGAGGGCCCACCCGGAGGCACCGAGGCCTGGAGCCAGCAGGAGGCTCGAGGCTGAGGGGTTTCGTGGTGGGGACTTTCCAACAAGTGAGGGTAGGTTTAAATCCAACTGCAAGTGAAATCGAACATTCCAGGATTCATTCATCTGGAGGGTCTATCCCCTACTGTGTCCCCTCCCAGCAGGCATCTCAGCCCAGAAGGGCCACCCCTGCTCCTATGAGCCCACAGGAGTGATGGAAGTGGGGAGGTGGCTTCAGGTGACTGTCCCCGCTTCCTTGAGACGGAGGGGCTGCCGGGGATGAGAGCTGTCAGTTCTGAAACAGGACAGTGCCAGGCAAACTGGATGGTCAGTCTCCCTGGGGAGAGCAACCTACAGGGCTGACCTCCGGGAGGATGGCACCAGGATGGGAGGCCATGCAGGGGTGCTTCCTAGCCAGTGGGAGGGGGAAGGGAGACAAGGAAGGATACGTGGGGCTGGGGGCTACACTGGGCAAAGGCCATGGAAGGAGGGAAGCTGAAACCAGGAGAAATCTTGTCAATGTCAAAAGCTGGTATTCTTGCTGTCTAATCTGCTCTTTCTGTACCCAGGAAGGTGAGGCCAGGGGAGGAAGAGAAGGAGGGTGGCACAGTTAGGACTAGAAGTGGCTTTCTGGGCACCAGGATTGAGAGCTGCGGGCCGCTGGGCCCCAGGGGTCGAGGGGCAACTGCCTGTCCTGATGGACTGGTGGGAGGTGTGGGGAAAGGGAGAGCAGAGATCAGGGAGGGAAAAGGGGGACAGAGTCTCCCAAACCAGCCGCCCTGGCGTAGTTACCAGGGGAAAAGGAGTTTTAACACAAAACCCCACTGACCTTGGCTGGCAGGAGCCTTGGGGTCTCCGGGCAGCGTCAGCAGCTCCCTGGAATGTGGCCCAGCAGAGGTGGCCCGTCCAGTCAGGAAATCTGGTGGGCAGTGCCTGCAAGCCCTGGATCCTGGGCGTCTTCCACGACCTTCCCTTATCAACTGCCATGGAATCCAGAGCTCTGGGCCTGGCCAGTAAAGGGCCAGTTTGCCCACCCAGCGTCCTGCCCACTGTGGGGAGCATCACAGCCTTCCTGCCACGTCTGCCACGTCATCTGTTCCTCTGTCACCTCCTGGCAAGCCCTGATCGAGTGCTGTCCCTGATGAAATATTTATCACTAGGTGACAAAATATGGCTTTTCAAAAGCTTCAAGTCCTATAAGAAGGTGATGTTCTCCATTTCAGCTCCGCCACTTCCGCAGACCCTTGCTGACGGCTCCCGTTGACATAGGTTGCTCCTTTGCTATCATCCATCCATCCATCCACCCAGCCATCCACCATGCAGGCATCTATCCATCCATCTGTCCATGTATCCATCCACCCACCATCCATCCATCCACCCGTCCATCCGATAAGCACCACTGGGTGTGTATTGTGTAGTATGGTGGTTGCGAGTGCAGCCTCTGCCTTGCCAGCCCTGAATTCCATGGTTGCGCCTACTGCCTATGGGTCCTTGAGAAGCTTCTCAACCTCTCTTATTCTCAACCTCAGTTTCCTCACTGTGAAAAGGAATAAAGGCACTTACTTCACAGGCTTGCTGTGAAGGCGCAGGTGCAGGCAGGTAACACATGTAACGAACTTACTAAAGAATAAAGCGCGCAGGTGCTTTCTCTCATCCTGGGCCACCTACGCACAGTGCTGTGATGAGGACCCCGACGCAGCTCAGCCAGGAGACGCTGAGCAAGGAATTACGATGAAAGAAGAGTGCTTCTGCTGAGGAGGAGCTGGGAGCCGTGAAAATGTAGCCAGGAAGACTCACCAGGTTTGGGGCTCGGGGGAGGAAGCCCAAGTGGATGGACGTTGGCTGTCGGTGGGAAGGGTGCCCTGAGGGCAGGAGAGCCTGGTGGAGGGAGCTGGGTGAGTCGGGAGGGTGCCCAGACATGCTCCGGTTGTCTGGTTGATGGGACAGCCTGGAGATGTGTTGTATTTATAGAAATCGTTCACAGAAACGGGTTCCTTTGCCAATTAGCTGCCGCTGGCCAAAGCACAGTGATAAATGTTCTAAAAAACAAATCTCCAAAATGTTTTCTCCTTCTCTAGTTTTTATTCTCCCTTCCATTTCCACTTGTGATTTTTCTGAGCCTGACCGCATTTGGGGAGGGTTATAAAAGGATTTAAAACTTAAGACAATAAACAAATCACCTGCTTTTGTTAAATTGCTTTACTTGCTTGCTATGTTATTTGGTTTCAGGATTTTAGCTATGACCGCAAAAACACTCAACAGATTTAGAAGATTTTCTCATTTTAACTGGAAGGCTCTATCTCCTGGGGGCGGGGGGGAAGGCAAGACCGATTTACCTGGGAGCCTGGTTTGAGTTGAGTTCCAGGGTCAGGAAGTACTTCTGATTTGGGGCTGGGATCCGGGGTGCACAGTCTGGGGGTGGCATTAGGCTACAGGGGGAGGCCAGTCTGGTAAACCCCGCCAGCAGAGACTGGGTTTGGACCCGAGGGCAATGGGAAGCCGGCTCTGAGTCGTAAACTGGGGAGTGACAGATCAGACCTGGGGTTTTATAAGTTCTTCTGACAGTGCTTCGGAGAGGTTTGGAAGAGGCCAGCTGGGAGGTGGGACTGGGGTAGGGACGGAGGGAGGGAAGAGGATGGCTATAAGAGCTGTCTGAGAGGTGAGGGAGGGGTCTACGTAATGGGCTTTGTTTCCAGCCCAGGCAGCCTGGTGGATGCAGATACCCTTTTTCATCCGGAGCTGATTTTGTTACCTTTTGTAGTCAAGGCCTCATGCTCCAGGGCACCTGGCCTAAGATGACTAGGGCTGCAGGGCACAGAGATCCACATCCGGCCAGGCGGGGCCAAACTGGGAGTTTGCTCCCCCCCCCCCCCCCCCCCTTCTTGGGGGGGGCCCTCCAGCCGGCTTGTCAATCTTGGCTCCTGTATCTATGACAACCACACAACTCATTTTCCCTGGTCATTTCCATTTAAAATGCTCTGTCCTTTTGTTTGCACGGGTTCCTGTGTCATATTTGGTGTTCCAATTTTTAGTTGGGAAATAAGAGACTGCATGTTATTCTACCCACGGGCCTGAATGGGGCTGCGGAGAACATCCACGACTCTAAGACCTATGTGGGTAGCAGAAGTAGGGCAGTGGGGTGAGAATGCGCAGGCTTTGGGGTCAGAACGCCGGCTCCGGGTTCTCCTTGTGCCCCTGAGCCCTCCTCTCCGGGCCTCCCCTTCCCCACTTGTAACTGGAGGTGGTAATACCTGTCTGGGCCATCACCCTGCAGACAGCAGAGCAGCCCGCACGCAGTGACTGTTCGCATCTCCGCGCTGGGGGCTCAGGAGGGAGCAGGTGCGCCCCGCGGGCTCTCCGCACGGAGGGATCGGGAAGACCCGGATAACCCGGCCGCCGGCCTTGCGGGAGAGCTGGTGGGCGCAGTGCGGGGGACGCAGCTCCCAGAGACCGGGTTCTGAACCTTCTGGAGCTCAGGTTCTTCGTTTCAAACTTGGAAGGTAAGGGCCCCTGTACCTTCCAGGGTGTACGGGGGTGTCCCGAGATTAATGGAGACGCCACGCGGAGACACCGCCGGGGCCGGTCGGACGCTCTGGACATCGTAGCCGCCGCTCCCCAGCGTGCGCGATGACGGAGGGACGCGACCGCACAGGTGCCCCAGCCCAGGAGAAACGTTAGGGCCCCGCCGCCCCGCGAATCTCGGGGGCGGGGTGCTCTCTCCTCCCTGGGCGCTGCTGCAGGGCGAGCTCAGGATATGGACAATCGAGGGGCACATGAGCATTCCCTCTATGTATCTTCTTCCTACTTCAGTTTTCAGAAAGTGCAGGAGAAGGGCTGCAACCGGCCACCTTTGGGGTTAACGCCTGTAAGCAGGAGGCACGGGCAGCACACTGTCCCTTTAAGGCGTTGAGCCATGCAGAGGCGTTCTGCTCCTCTCCGCTCGCCGTAGCGGCCCTCCGAGAGGCCGGCTTTGTGCGTTTGCCCCGCCCCGGCAGTCCCCGCCCCGCGCGCGCGCGCACGCGCACTGTTGCTCCCCGCACCGCCTAGTTGAGCTCCCGCCCAGGCGGCGGCCGACGCGAAGCCTTGAGCGCCCGCCCCCGTCCCCCAGCCGCCCGGCAGGTAAGTGGGGACCGCCCGGCCGGCAGGCACGCCCCGGGGGTGCGGGACCGGGACAGACGCTAGCTCCCCCCGCGCCGCCCGCCGCCGCACGTGTTCCGGCGGGCCCGGCCCGGCGCCGGTTCAGTCCCGCCGGGCCTCCCGGCGCAGAAGCCCCGCGCCCGCCGCCTCGCCTCCGGGTGCCCGCTCTGCGCCCCTCCTCCCCGCCGAGCGACTGGGCCCCGGCGGCCCCCTCCTCTGACCCGAACCAGCCCGAAACGGACCCGCATGGACCGCCGAGCCCCGGGGACCCCCGGCTTCTCCCGCCCCCAGCGGTCAGGTGACAAGCCCCCGGACCCGGGGCTGCGACTTCCTCCTGCAGCCGGCGTGCGTCCCCCCTTTGCCTCCAGAGAAAGACCTCTGGGCCACAGAGCCATCCAGTGCCTGGATGTGGCGCGCTGTCCGCTCTTCTCTGCTGCAGAGGCGCCCTCACCCTAACCAGCTGCTCACCCCCAGCCGGGGGCAGCCAGGCCCCATCTCCCCCCGCGCGACCCCGGGCCCCCAGGGCTGCGGGGCTGCCGGCATGACGGGAGAGACCACCACGCTCTTGCTGTGGAGTCTCAGACCCCTTCTAGTCTGGCTTCCGAGAGCCATTTTGGGGGATGTGGAAGATGCTCCCTGGTAGCCCTCTCACCCCGTTTCTACCCGCCCAGGTCCGCTGTCGACATCGCCTCTGAGGTTGGCCCGGCCCCGTAGGAGGCGGAGAGGTAAGCCAGAACGCCCGCGTGTCTGAGAATCCAGGTGGGGTGCGGAGAGCCGAGTTCCCTCGCTCTCAGTGGGCCTGGTTACCGCCTGTCTTCTCACACCCAGGGGCCCAGTCTCTGGGGTGGAGCCTAGTAATTTGCATTTTACTCCGAAGCTCTCCGAAGAAGTTCGGACGCTCAGCCTTGGGTGGTGTGGCTCACCTAGGTCCCAAGAGGGAGCAGGTAGCAAGTGATCTGGAGGCCGGCTGCAAACGTTGAATCGAGAAGTTGTGTTTCTAAAAGTTTGCTGAATTTTTGTGTTGGTTTTTTGTGTGTTAATGTTTTGCTGGCCGAAGTGTTGGGCAGGGGTTGAGCTGGGAGGGGCTGGGCACCTTTTCTGTAAGACCACCTATTGTATGTATTCCCAGCTCCTCACCTGAGGGCAGCAAGTTTGCGGGAGTCACACCACACCTCCTGGCGGGTCTTGATTTTTACTCTAGAAGGAGCTGCTCAGGCCTCTGGGCTGCCCTTTCCACCCCAGATGGAGCCTCTTCAGTTCCCACTGGTGTTTAGGTTGGACGCGCCCCGGGCTTCCCTCCTCTCAGCCCTAGTTGTGGTCTGCCTTTCTCAGATGCTAGGTTCTGTGAAACAGACCATCCAGCTCTTGTCCTTGGCTCCTTTCCCCCCACTTGTCCGGCCCACCCAGGGGAAGGCAGCACCTGGGTTAATTGGCACGGCCTGCTTGCGCTACAGCTAATCACCAGGTAGGCAGCGTTTCTGGAGCGCCAGCTTTGTGCCAGCACTTTGCCCCCGGCAGCTGTATTGACCTGCCCCTCCCCTCCCCCACCCTACTGCTGGGGCTGTGTCTGCTGCCGGATCCGTTCCGTTCCTGGGCCGGGATCCTTGCTGCAGGTAACCAGCTGTGGCCTCACAGGGTGCTCTGCACAGCTGTGTTGCATTGTGATTTCGCTCCCCTCCTCTTGGATGAAGACTTGGGGATGTGTTCTTTTTGATGGCTTCTGTCCCGCCTTGGTGCGACAAGGAGCCCGTGCAAGCTTCCAGTTTTAAGCTCCGAGCTAGAATTTACAAGGTGTGAACGCATTGGATTAACGGTGGTGCCAGCTTCCGGGAGTCGGCTGGCCAGTGATGCTTGCAGGACGTCTTGGTGGCTCTCCTCTGGAAAGGCGCCTTCCCTCGTTTCAGAGTCACCTGGTGTGCTTCTGTGCCACGTGTCCAAGTCGCGGAGTCTACTCCTGTGATAGAGGAAACCAGTCTCTCACCGTGCGGCATTTGAGGGGTTCCCGTTTTCATGCCGAAACCTAATTGAGCTGCAGTCTCTTTCCCTCCTCTGCAGTGAGTTTGCTTGCAGAGTGTCCTTGCGTACTTCAGGTTGCTTCTAGGAAGCCTAGCGCTGGCGACTCCAGCAGGCGGGGCTGGCTCCAGTCTGTGCTTTCCGGCTGTGTCTTGTTGCTTCATCAGGGACGGAGAGCCTCTCGGCTGTTAGTGTTTTGGAAGCAGCCTCGTGTCTGCCGCCTACACGTGCTGACCTTGGAGTCCCCGGGAGGTGTGGACCACTGGGGCCTGCTCTTGTGTTTTCAAACGTGGCTGTTAGCACTTTGCATCACTTGGGATGCATTTAAGGATTTGGATGAGTTCCCAAACTTCTGCACCCTGTAGCTCAGTCTCCTGTAATTTGGCGTGTTTGTTTCCTGACAAGAAGTCTTTGGTTGATTTTTTTTTTTTTTTAAATGCATCAAGGGCTCTTTGAAGAGAATTACGTTTTGTCTGCCCGGACTGTGCTGCATTTCAGACATGCGGTAACAAAATAGGAAGCACCCCTGAAGGTGGGTCTCGGACTCTGATCACAGAAGGGACGAGAGCAGCACAGTACCTGCAAAGGACTAGCGAGGAGTTACGTGCAGAGGACTCTTAGTTTGGAACGGCACCTGCTACAGGGCTCAGTGAGGTGGTCAGAGTTTTAAAATTCTTTTTCCTGGAAATTAATTTTTGAAGTGTGGTTTGTCTGTTGGCCTCCGTCCCCCACTGTAGGTTTGGATTAGCAGACAGCCCTTGCCACTGTGCGTCCTCCACTCGGAGCTGTGAACTCTCTACCCGCGTCGCCCTGCCTGGTGGGCTGCAGAGCCATGGCAACCGAGGAGAAGAAGCCCGAGGCCGAGGCTGCCCGAGCACAGCCCACCCCGTCGTCATCGGCCACGCAGAGCAAGGCACGTCCCTGCGGGCTCCTGGGCACGAAGGCTGGGAGATCCTCGGGAATATTTCACGCCCGGAACTGTTTCCCCTCCCCTCCCCACCCCCCACTTAAATATTGCCAGTTTTTACTCCAAACTACATTCCCAGCCACTCCAGTGCTGACTGTGGGCCGTGTCGGGGATTCCCAACCTGTCACCTGGGGAGGGGGCTTCACCAGCAGTACACATCCTTGGTCTTGATCGTAAGAGTCTGTGTGGGACCTGGGAAACGCCTCTTGTTCAGCACCTCGCCCCTGGCCCGCACAGTTCCCTGCGGAGGGCGGTGTGCAAACCCCTCCTCTAGACCGCAGGCGGGCCTCTCACCAAGGGCGCAGGCCTTCAGGTGTGCGTCGGGGAGCCTGACCTCGGGTGGGTGGGCTGCCGAAGCAGGGCTGGGGCTGCCGGAGGTTCCAGCTGCACTGGCGGGACTGCCTAGAGGGCGGCCTGGGTGACGGGGGCTTCAGGAGAGGCAGGGCTTGTGAGGGGACGCGCGGAGCCCGGGTTTAGGCGGGTGCACCCTGGTGGACGAGGGCTCTGGGAAGCGCCGTCACGGGGTAGGTGTGAGTGTGAAATTCGGCCTGGGCGCCAGCTCCACACTGGCGATCAGTGGGTTTGGACAGTGGTGGTTACTTTTCGCTGACTAGTACTCTCTCTTGAACAGCCCACACCTGTTAAACCAAACTATGCTCTGAAGTTCACCCTGGCCGGCCACACGAAAGCTGTGTCCTCTGTGAAGTTCAGCCCGAATGGGGAGTGGCTGGCGAGTTCGTGTAGGTGCCCCTGGGGCTTCCCTGCGTGTCCCCTCGATGTGCCCGTGCCGGTTGTGACTCTGAAGGGACGGGCCCGGGTCAGGGGGGAGGCCTGGGGGTGGGTGCCGAGGACCGCGGCTCCCTAGGGGAGGCCTGTGTTGTGGGCAGCCCAGATTTTGGCCCCTGGATGACTGGAGACCTCGGTTGCTTTTCATTCCTCTCTTTCAGCTGCAGATAAACTCATTAAGATTTGGGGAGCATACGATGGGAAATTTGAGAAAACCATCTCTGGTCACAAGCTGGTAGGTCTCAACCCTGGGCCGAAGTTGCTGCTGGACGTGGGTTGGGGCCCATCTCCGGGCTTGTCAGGTTAAGATTGAACCTCCCTGCCCCCAATTTTTGGGATAGTTACTTGCCTCTTGGGGTTTTTTTTAAATTAGTTAATTAATTTTTGGCTGCATTGGGTTTTCACTGCTGTGAAGGGGCTTTCTCTAGTTGTGGCGAGCGGGGGCTACTCTTCGTTGCGGTGCGCGGGCTTATTGCAGTGGTTTGTCTTGTTGTGGAGCACGGACTCTAGGTGCACGGGCTTCAGTAGTTGTGGCTCGCAGGCTCTAGAGTGCAGGCTCAGTAGTTGTGGCTCACGGGCTCAGCTGCTCCGTGGCATGTGGGATCTTCCTGGACCAGGGCTCGAACCTGTGTCGCCTGCATTGGCAGGCGGATTCTCAGCCAGTGCACCACCAGGGAAGTCCGCCTCTTGTTTTTCAAGCAAATAGTTTTGACCTCCCCAGATGAGTTTCTGCCCAGCTGTGAGGCCTGGCAGAGCCACGGAGAGCAGGCTTCCGGGCCCGGCCTGCGGGTTCAGTCTGTTTGGTCAGCACGAACTAGAGGGAGTGGCTTGCTTAGTTATGTCCAGTTGGACGTTGAGGATTTGACTTTTGCTGGCTAATCCCGTTTTGCCGAGATAGTGACCGTGACTGTGTGTTTCCTCCCCCAGGGAATATCTGATGTGGCGTGGTCCTCAGATTCTAACCTCCTTGTTTCTGCCTCAGATGACAAAACCCTGAAGATATGGGACGTGAGCTCGGTAAGCTGCATGGGCCCCTCCTTGGGAAGCGTGTGCGTTTGGGGAAGGGGCTTGGGGTGGGACTGCGTTTGGGGAGCAGCCGTGCTTGTTGCCAGAGGGGCTTCACGGCTGCGGCGGGTCAGCTGCTGATGGGTTTAGCCTGACGGCTGGCGTTTGAAGAAGCAACCACTGGGAATGACTTAGTCCCACAACACTTCCTCTCAGGGAAAGTGTCTGAAAACCTTGAAGGGACACAGCAATTACGTCTTTTGCTGTAACTTCAACCCCCAGTCCAACCTCATCGTCTCGGGCTCTGTGAGTTTGGGGCCTCCCCAGGGGTGGGGGTGAACCGGGGGCCGTCCTGGGCTGCTCTGGGGGCTCGGGGGCCAGCGAGTCTGTCCCGTCCGAGCCCCCGGAGAACCACTGCCACCTGCCCCTCTGTCTCCAGTTTGATGAAAGCGTGAGGATATGGGACGTGAAGACGGGGAAGTGCCTCAAGACCCTGCCCGCGCACTCGGACCCCGTCTCAGCCGTGAGTGCCCCCCGCCCAGCCAGGTCGTGGCGCTCGCCCGACAGCAGGGCCATGAGTGGAGACTGGGCTCAGGGTTCCATGCCCGTGGGAGGCGGGGCGGGGAGGCGTCCCTGCCCGGAGGCTTACAGAGCAGGCGGGAGCGTGCGGGCAGCGTGGGTGTTGCGTGGAGCCACCTTCGGGTGGGTGGGCAGAGGGCCCTGGGGGCCGGGTGGCCCAGTCGTGGGTGAGGCGGTGGGAAGGTGGGGCCCCGCGAGCGTGCTGCACGCGCGGTCCAAGGCTGCCGCCAGCACACAGGATGAACAGACGGGTTAAACTACGTGCGTGTCATAAACGGCTCCATTTACAGACGGCCAAAGGAGTTCTTTGTCAGCGAAGGGCCCGAAGGGGTTTCTTAGCCAGGTTTGCCTTTTGGAAAGTGGAAGGGGTCACGTATAGACAGCTTGTTCGCTGTTACCGAGGACATGGTCCTCCTCAGGTTCTAGACTTGTGGAGGTGAGTGACTTTAAGTGGCTTCAGCCTTGGAAGGCCTTTGTCCAGCGGGGCCGGGGGCAGAGCCCTGACCCCCTGGGGGACGCGTAACGTGTGCTGGTCGAGGCTGCCTGGCGCGGTGCTGGCCCTGTGTCACGGCCGGTGCCTGCGGCTGCGGGGAAGGCGCCCCTGCCGTCTGGGCCCCGGGCCCTCCTGAGCCTGTGCCGTCGCTCCTCTGTCCTCCGCGCTGGGGGCCCTGTCTGAGCCGAGCTGGCTTCCAGACAGGCCGCAAATGGGCATGTGTGAAGTAACCAGGAGATAGTCGGAGTGAAGGCCATGAGTTGAAAGAGTTCTGTCTGTGTTGGCAGTGGTCAGGGATGGGGCTCTGATCGCAAACGATGGTAGGATTTTTAAAGTCTTTGCTTCTTACAAAAGTAACGTGTGCTTATTTTTAAAAAATGCAAGAGGCAACGTAGCGCGTAGCACATCAGAGCCTCCTGAGCTCCCATCCTCAGGGGCAACTGCGCGCAGCCGGCAGCTGCCGTCTGGGTGTTTTGGTTTTTTAAGTGCGTGTTTTCCAGCCCACCCCCTCTTGTTGGATGGCGGTGGTGCTACGGGACAGCGGCATCCTGCTCCAGCTTGCGCACCGCAGAAAGGTCTCGGACACCTTCTGGCTCTGTGCCTACAGGTGCTTGACACGCTCGTTGTCCCCCCGGGGACGCTGGCTTGTGACTTGCACTTTATGGAGAGAAGTGCAGCGCACGTCTGTTGAACAGCCTTGCACGCTTGTGCCACAGCGTCTGCGGGCAGGTGTCGGGGGAGCACCAGGTCTGCGAGCGGTCAGCCTTTGCGAGGCCAGTCCTGGATCAGAGCCCTCGGGGTGCGTGGGCTTCCTGCGGTCTTCCGCCCCCTTGAGTCCAGCTGCTGTCCCCCTGCCTGGACTCCTCCATGTCAGTGCTTTCCTGAAGTCCCTGCTGTCCCCTTCATCCATCCCACCCCCTCTCCGCAGCTGCTGGCCTGTGCGTTTGCCTCACTTGCCCACTCTCTCCCTCCTCGGCCTGCCTGCAGGTGTCACCTCCAGGGAGCTCAGCGGCTGTCCGTCTGAGTCGAGACTTGGCGTCCCCACTGGGGTCTGTCTGCCCCCCCCTTCCTTCTGGGTAGCACTGACTTTCTGGCCGTCTTGCCTCTCACACCTGCGCGCTGGTCTGCCAGCGTGTGCCGGCGGTGCTGTCTGGACGGGGCTGGAACAGAGCGGAGCGCGGCCCTGGTGGGGCAGGCTTTGGGGCCCCGTGTCAGCTCGTCATCACCCAGCGAAGGGGCTTTGATCAGATCGTAGTTTGCAGGTTCAGAGGGATGAGTGTGATGAGATCCGCTGCTGTGAGTTTTAGGGAAAACGGCTTTGGGAGGCTGACGAGCACGTGGCTCAGGTTGAGTGGGGGGAGGGGGGCGCTGTCCCCACCGCCGGGGGAGCAGGACGAGGACGGTGACAGCGGCTCTTCACGGGCCACGCCATCCACGCGGAGGCCACCAGCCACACACGGTAGCACCGCAGGCTGAGACATGCAGGAGTGGGCAATACTTGGCCTTCAGCTTCTGAAGATCCAGTGCAACGGAAAGAACGTAAAGTGTCTTGTTTATAACTTTTAGCGTCGGTTATGTGTTGAAGTAGTATTTCAGGTATATGGGGTTAAGTAAAAACCTGTCAGGTTTGTTTCACCTGTTAACTTCCCTGCTGCGGTGGCTAAGAAGTTTAAGTGGCACACGTGCCTCCATCACGGGCCCCTCGACAGTCTGGACAGTGGTTCTCCAGGCGTGGCCCCCGGACCAGCCTCTGCTGGGGGTGTGCAAGATCTGCAGATTCTCGGGGCCCGGCGCTGGGCTTTGACAAGCCCTCCAGGTGCTTCTGCTACACGTGGGCTTGTCCCCTGGGGACGCCTGGCACCGTCTGGAGATGTTTAGGTTTTCAACAACCAGATGCTACTGGCATCTCGTGAGTCAAGGGCGGGGCAGCTGCTACACGGGACAGCGCCTAGCAAAGGAGTGTGTGAACCGTGTGTCAGTGGTGTGAGGACCAGACGTTGGTCTGAACCGTGGCGGCAGGTGGGCAGCCCCAGCCCTGTCCCCGAGAGGTTGACCTGGGGCGCGACCCCCCATGGGACAGGCATCACACGTAGCAGGAAAGAGGGCGTTCCAGCGGGGGGGGGGGTGTTGTAAAAAGGCTTTTCCTGCCCAGGACTCAAATGAAAACGACGGGAATTGATGAAGAACTCTAACTTCTGACGTTGTGATTCCTTCTGTATACACTGAGATTCAGTTGGAAAAAAGAAAGAGGACAAAGGCAAAGGCAAACCACTTCTGAGGAAGGGACTGCTCACGTTGCCATTTCTTTATCAGACGGTGTATCTCGCCTGTCTCTGTACTGGGCAGTTAGGCATTCAGATAAAATAACTGGTGTGGAAGTGTCACAGGTCGGCTTCTGGGCCCGGCACCTGATCTGGACATCGCACCTCTTCCCAGGCACAGAGTTTGGAGCAGCCTGGATCTTGTTCCTGCCCCGTCTGCAAAGCTCGAGTGTCGCAGGGGTTGGTGTCCGGGCCCTCAGAGCAGTAACCGGGCCGTCTTGTGATTCTGGGGGTGCTCAGCACGCAGCGTTACGCGGCTGGGAAAGCTCGGGAGTGTCTGAATAAGCGGGCATCCTTCTCCTGACTTCTCTGCCTTGTTCGATGGAAGTCGGGGAAGCCCTGGTCCCACTGCCCCCACGGCCATGCGGGTCCACAGACACACTCTGGGCAGTGGGGCCTCCACGGAGCCAGCAGGTCTGGGTTGGTCGAGTTTGTGATTTAAATACTCAAGACGTGTTTCGGGGTTGGTTTTCTTTCTGTGGTTCAGTCTTCCGTCGTGAAACAAACTGACGGTTGCTTGAGACACCAGGTAAAAATGACCGTTTTATCCACGTTGCTTGTGGTCTGCGTTAGCATCCTTGGGAAATCAGAACTTAAAGCTCGCTCAGAATGCAGCAGGGTGCATGTCCCTTTGTCGGGGGCCGGTGAACGGAAGGCCGTCCAGGTGAGGCGCAGTCTGTGTTGATGCTCTGAAAGTAAGTTTCTTTTCCCCCCTCCCGCTCCTTCATCCTCAGGTTCATTTTAATCGTGATGGATCCTTGATAGTTTCAAGTAGCTACGATGGTCTCTGGTAAGTGAAAGAGCTTTACTTCGTTGAGTCAGCAAGTGTTTAACGGCCTCCCCTTGCACCGTTGTGCCTCCGGGCGTCCAGCGGAAGCCTCTGCCTCGAGGGGCTTGGGCAGGCGGGGTGGCGGTGAGCATGGCCGGGAGAGGGGGCTCCTGTCAGCAGCGAGGCCCCAGCCGGAGACGCGGGGAGGCGCTGCTGTCCTGGACGTGGCTCCCCGTGGACCCTGAAGGGGGCGCGTCCCAAGCTCGTGGCGCTGGTGGGGAGGTGGAAGGAAGGTGTACTGACGTGAACGTCCGAGAGTGTCCATCGGGGCCGTCAGGGTCCTGAACAGGTGGATGAAAACAGGTCCCGTCACGGAGGGTGAGGAGGAAGGGTGGCGGGGCGGGACATCCAGTCTAAGCGGATCATGCTCGTGGCCTTGGCGCTGGTAGTGCAAGTGCCCTGTGGATGCTTTAAGAGACGCGAGGGAAGACGCGGAGATAAACGTTTGAAATGTAACGCGGCACACGTGGGTATAAAGTATCAGGAGGTATCTGGGCTTGGAGGGTTGCGCGTCACAGCTCACCTGGTTACCGGGGAGGGGAACCTGGGGAAGGGATGGGGCGGCAGCAGCCACTGGCTGGACCGATGGCCCGAGAAGGACTTCCCAGCTACGCAGGAGAAAGACAGGGTGGCTAGAAATTTGTCTACATTTAGTGAAAATAAAATAGAGAAACTCGAGTAACATAAGTGATAACGTGTAAAAGTACCGTGGAAGAAACGGAGCTCAGGGTACTTACTGGGTGCTTACGTGGCGGGGCTGGCTGAACACCCCCAAGAAAGGCTGTCAGGTTTGGGTTAAAAGCCCTTCTGACTCTTGTTGTTTTCAAGAAACACACCTAAGGAAAAGTGATGAGTCAAGACTCGGAAAAGAAGGGTGGGCACGTGGGGTCGGGCAGGTGGGAAGCAGAGACCGAGTATCAGCCGGGGAGACGGTGACGGAAATGAAGCAGGTAGAGTTGACGGGAAGGCTGAGAAAGCTCTGGCACCAGGCCCCACGGCCGCCCGAAGCTGCCTTGGGGAAACTAGGAGTACAGGGAGCCGCAGTGTTTGTGAGGGAGTCCAGCCTGCTGCTTTGACTCTGACAGCAGGGGGCTTGGGGTTAGCGGGGCCGAACGATGCCACGGGCTGTGTATCTGCTACAGAAGTGCTAGTTTTCTTAAGCGTGTGGCACATTCTCAGAATTGCTTGTGGACTGCCTCTAAAAGCTTTCTAAAGAAGTTAGGGGAAAGAAAAGCATGCCAAAAAAAGTAAGAGGAGAGGAAAGTTGTAAAGTTAAACAGTGGAGAAAGGGGAAAATGACGGGAAAATTTAAATAAGCTGTATTCTTAATAAGGCCCATAAAGTGGTCAGCCTTTATAAGCCTGAGTAAGGAAAAAGGGCAGAAACGTGCAAGGCTAAATTAGAGAGGGGACGGGAATTCCCGGCGGTCCAGCCGTTAGGACTCCGTGCTTCCACTGCCGTGGCCCGGGTTCAGTCCCTGGTTGGGAAGCTGATATCCAAGGCGCGAGCCATGGACAGAAAATAAAAAATAAAAAGGGGGTGGAAAAGAGCAGTTTCGGGGGGATGAGGGACGAGCAGGAGGATGCCTGGCCCACCTCTGAGCAGGCTCTGTAGACGGGGATTAATTCCGACTCCCTAAATTGAGCAAGGGGGTCACCATGGCGGAGATTGGAAAAAGCGATTAAAGGTCTGAAAACTATATGGGCCCTATGATTTTACACTGGAATTGAGTTAAATAACAGAAACTTCTAAGGCTGTTGGAACTGGACCACAGGACAAGTTGGGGAGCCCCCTGGTTCATTTCTGGGTCCAGCATGACCTAACTCCCCAGCTTGATTGCTAGTCCAAAAAAGACAACCATGGAGGACACTTCACTAGTGAATCTTGAGGTCACAATCCCCAGGAAAATGTTACAAACTGAGTCCACAGTGTGTGGAAGAATAGTATTTCGTGACCAAGTGGGTTTGTGAGTCATGAGACGATTGTAGTAATGTACCAACCAATAGGAAACTGAAAATCTAATAATTATACCAAGAAATTGGAGGCAAAGATCCATATAATTTTCTTACCGGTATAAGTCAGGTAGGCACCTGATAAAATCCAGCCGCCATTCCTAATAAAAACTCTAGCAAAATAGGCCAGTATCACAGACTGTTTAACAGAAACTTAATAATCACGTTTATAGTAAGTGGTTAACATGCCAAATCCATTTCTGCTAGAATCGGGCAAAAGTCATGCCCATCTCCTTCAGCATTTGGTGCTATTTGGAATTTCTAGCTAACGTGATAAGAAGATAAAGTCATTGTGTGAAAACTGGATAGAGACTTATCTCTTTGTAGGTGGTACATTTGTATGGTCTCCCCACCCCGGTACGCGGGCTCTCACTGTTGTGGCCTCTCCTGTTGCGGAGCACAGGCTCTGGATACGCAGGCTCAGTGGCCATGGCTCACGGGCCCAGCCGCTCCGCGGCATGTGGGATCTTCCCGGACCGGGGCACGAATCCACGTCCCCTGCATCGGCAGGCGGACTCTCAACCACTGCGCCACCAGGGAAGCCCTGTATGTTTTTTAAAACTTAAAAATCACGTATTTGTACTTTACAAATAGGGACTCATTTAAGCCTCATAACTGTCCTGTGACTCGGGTACTGGATGGTCGCCATCCCCGATCCTCAGTTGGGAAGCTGAGGCAGGGATAAGCCCCTGCCCGCCATCCCCAAGCTGGTCAGCGAGAGAGCCAGGGTCCGGAGCACACCTCGGGCTCTGGAACCCAGGCTCTGAGCCACCGAGCCTGCTAGTTACAAAACGTGGACGGGCATTTGGTGAGGTCACTGTTTGCAAACTGACAGTTTTTTGCTATCCTGGGAGCTACCAGTTAGTGGATGAGAGCAAGTTCCCCCGTAAGAGTCACAAAAGCATTGGGGTACTTAGAATGTGATTAACAAGAGAGCAAGGCCTGTATGCAGGAAATGGTAAAATGTAACCAGAGGGACACAAAGCAAAGAGGGAGGGACGGGGGACCAGGCACGTCCTCATCCTGGCGCTGGGGAACACCCGTCTCCTGGGCTGGTACGCTGTAAGCGGTTCAATTTAGAACCCCTCCAACTAGATAAAGTGAATTTAAAATTCTTAGAGAAGCGTAAACTGAGTTCTCTGCCAGTAGAATTAAAACAAACAGTGAGTGGGGGAGTGATGTTTCTGGGTGTTAAAACCCGAGACACAGTTACTGCGGCCCCCAGGGCGGGATTGGCTCTGAAGGGCTGCAGGTGGGACAGTGAACGCTTGGGCGATAACCCCTGCGTTCCTGTTACCTGTAAAACCTGTGTGCCCTCGACCCAACGCCCGCCCCCATCGCTGGGCATCTGTGCTCCAGAAGCGTCCGCGCGAATACGCCGCCATGGTTCCCAAAACAGGGTGTTGTGTTGGCAGAAATCACAGAAACACTGAGGTTGCAGCGATGGGATATCTGGCGTGTCCCGTTGGGGAATAGCGGCCCTTTGAGTGGGTTCTCTTGCTCCTGAACTAGGGGACGTCCAGAAAAGTGCCTACGATATCCTGTTTTTATAAAAGCACTCTGCCCCAGGGACCGTGTGCTTGGCGTGTTTTTGCGTGGAGAGCCCTGCAGGGACACAGGTCGGGCTGTTGGCCTCGCGGCCGTGGGTGTGCGGAGAGGGCCGGTCGTCCCCCCCTGGCTGTCCCAGCTGTCGCGATGAGCGCGCTGCTCCGTGGTGAAGGCAGCAAGAGCACACGCATGCGGTCTGCACGTGCCGCGCCCGTTCTGGTCCCTAGGACTCAAGGGAGTGGTTGTGAACGGTGACTGGAAAAGCAAGATAGGACTGGCTGTGGATTGGTCCTGAAACATCCACATTGAGAGCCGTGGAACATAGGAAGCCGCTTGTAGTCACCTGCTGTGCTCGTTGCTTTGCAGTCGGATCTGGGACACCGCCTCGGGCCAGTGCCTGAAGACACTGATCGGTGAGTACTGCCGGCTCCTACTTGCAGGGGGGCCGTGTCCCAGGGGACAGTCTGCCGGGTTGGCTGTGGCAGCTTTTCCCACGCTTCCTGCCCTCCATGTGTGGTTCTCTGGAAGCCTCCCTCTCTCCCCGCTGGACCTGCTCCCTCTGGGGAGGGCTCCCCCTCTCCTGAGCGGTTCTGTCTCCCATCCGCTCCTTCCTGATTGGCTCTCCCTTCTGGCCTCGCGTGGCGCTGCCCGGCGGTGTCCTCTGAAGGACCCGCAAGACCCTCGGACTCTGCCCGCGCTCAGCAGACCTTTGTCTTCCTCCCCGGCCTTGGGGACCCTCCGCTTGGGTCATTCCTTCAGCACATGGGGTCGAGCCCCTGCCCTCAGTGAGCCCTGTCTGCTGGGGGTGCAGAGATGGGGGGGAGGAAGTGGGCAAGGGGCCCCGAGGTCTCTGCACATGGGGCTGGGCTGTGCCTTGGGGAGGAGGGGAGGGCGGCACGGAGTGGAAGGACAGCGTGGTCTGGGCGGCAGCTGGTGCTGCTGGGCGTGGGGGGGTTGTGGCCAGAGGGTGGCCTCGGGCCTGGGAAGGCAACGCGAGAGATGGAGCCCTGGAGGGGTCCGGTCACTGACTCGGCGGGAAGGTCTTTGCAGTGTCGCGTGGAGCAGGCAGGCAGGGCCGCCAGGGCGGGGCGCCTCCCTGATCCTCCTGCGCCCGGCTGTCCTGGGAACAAGCGTGGCTGTGAGAGTGCGCTGGGACCACCGTGACAGGACACCGCGGGCTGCGCGGCTTCAATAGCAGAGACCCGGCCCCACTCCCTGGCGGCCAGATGTCCAAGGTCAGGGCTGGGCCGGGCCGCTTCTCCCGAGGCCGCTCCTTGGCCTTCTCAGCGTGTGCTTGCGTGGTCGTCCGCTGCGTGGGCTCCCGCTGTCCCCACCTCCTGCTCTGACAGGGACGCCGGTCAGACTGGCTTGGGCACCCCCCCGCCCCCCGCCCCCCGCCTTATTTTAACTTAGCCCGCCTCCAGGATGCTGTCTCCGAGGTGCCGGGCTAGGGCTTCAGCAGGAGAACCGGGGAGGGACACAGCGGTCTCTGTGGTTTTCTTGCTCTGCAAGGGGGGCCACCCTTCTGACGCGCATCCTTCCCCCGACCGCGGCATCTCCCTGTGTCTGTTGCGCTGTCTTCCCCCCCTGAGGCCTGGGTGGCCACCTCCGCCCGGCGGGAAGTGTCCTCGTGCCCAGACGGCCGAGCGCGGGCAGTCCCTGCAGCCGCCCCGCAGCTGGGTGGGAAGCCGAGGCCAGAGAGGTTGACAGCCGGCAGCAGCGAGCGGTCTGGGGCCGGGGCGGGAGGGGCGGTGGGGAGCCGAGTCCCGTCCCGTTTCTAACCTCGGGTCTAGGGCGTTAGAACCTCGGGCGTTGATGGGCAGCCCCGCGGTGCTTCGCCGTCGGAGCCTGGTTAGACCTCTGGGCACTGCCTCCTGTCGTCTGAGCTGGGGCGGTGGGGGGGGCCTTCCGTGTGGCCCGGCGACCGGGTGGCCCTCACCTGCTTCTCGTGGGCATTTTCAGTGTCGGGGACCAGCTGGAGGGAGCAGAGGCCCCCGGTGCGCGGGGGGCAGGCCTGGGCCTCCCGAGGTGGTGATGAGCGTGCTGCTCCGTGCCTGGTGCTCGGGACACGTGGCCACGCTGGCCCCCCACCAGGGCGCACGCCCAGGGCTCTCCTCGCTCAGGCAGGGACACCCTCCTCCCGAGGAGGCGTGGGACCGTCACAGAGCCCCAGCGCCTCCTGGGCGTGTGCTCCCATGCCAGCGGCTGAGAGGGTGGCAGGGCCTCTGACCCGCCTTCCCAGGGCACCCTGGGGCGTGGGCTCTGACCCCAAGTGTCAGGAGCAAGGGTGTGCTGTGACGTTGCCAGGGTTGTTTCCAGGGAGAAATTACACGCCTTCCGCTATAACCATGCAACCGGAGAGCGCCTGCCTGAGCCACTGTGTTCTCAGGGGGATAGTTTCTCGGTTTAGCTGGGTGTTTGCAAACTCCCTTCTGTGAGGAAGGCGATCCTGAGGCCGACTGGCCGCAGGGCCTTCGCTCCTGAAGCCCTAGTGTCATGGGGTCACTGGGAGAGCCGGCTCTCACGCTGGCACGAGCAGTGGGTGAGGGAGCTGGCCGGCCCTGGGGGACGCCCGCGAGGGGCGGTGCCGGCGCAGGTGGCGGTGAGGGAGCCCCCTTCCCGGCAGAGCCAGTGCCCCACTGGCAGCCGTCTCTGTGCTCCCTGCAGACGATGACAACCCTCCCGTGTCGTTTGTGAAGTTTTCTCCGAATGGCAAGTACATCCTGGCCGCGACCTTGGACAAGTAAGTGCTTCCATCCCCGGCGTGGCTTGCGGCCAGGCCCGTCGCCCCCCAGGGCCGGATTCCCAGCGTGAAAGACGATTCATCCCGCTGGGGCTGGGCTCTGGACGTGGGTGCCACGCTGGGACGTCCTGTCTGTGTGGGGGCTGGATCTCAGGTTGTTGGCTCCGTGGTCACCGTGGCCCATCCTGTTTGAGGTGGTGGCGGGCACGGTGGCCTTGAGGTGCAGGGCCCCGTTCTGCCCGGGCACCCTGCTTCTCCCCCGACACGCTTCCGGGCAGATGTCCCTGGCCACCGGCTGCCCTCCCGGGAGGTGGTTGGCGCTCGGCCTCCTGTGCACCGTGGGCTGCCCTCAGGTGGGCTTGCCGGGTCGGCCCCCATGGGAGGAGGAAGGACTGCCCTGGACGGGGCTTCTCCTGTCCCTTTCTGGCAGCAGCGAGGACCCCTTACTGGCTTAGGGACACTGAGAAAAGTGTCTTTGACCCACAAATGCTGGAGGCCCCACACTCTGCTCGGGTGTCCTCACGGTCCCTGGACGCCATGCGTGCGGGGCAACTGCACCCAGAGGGGGTGGGGCGGCCGTGGCGGAGCGCACTGACCCGCCCCCTCTGCCTTGCAGCACACTGAAGCTCTGGGACTACAGCAAAGGCAAGGTGAGCGGCGGGCGGGGCTCGCAGAGGGCTCGTGTGGGGTCCTGGGCTGTGGCCGGAGGGGCCCAGGAAGCGGCTCTGCATGTTGCTTTGGTGCACGTTGCCTGACGACTCGGGTTAAAGCTGGACCTGGGCGGGTTGTGCGGGGGGGGGCGCCACGGTGCTCTTCAGAGCCATCCAGTCGCTGTAAGATGCCTGGACGGGGGCAGCACCTGGGATGCAGGGCGGTCGTGACTGAGCTGACGTCCCCTGGCCGTTTCAGTGCCTGAAGACGTACACGGGCCACAAGAATGAGAAGTACTGCATATTTGCTAATTTCTCCGTCACTGGAGGGAAGGTAAGTCGTCTCCCAGCTCAGGAGCTGCTCCCGGCCCCTTCCTGAGACGGGCCTTGTACTCTCACCCACAAAACAAACAGGAATTTCCTGATTTTTAACCAAAATGAAGTCACGCCACACAAAGTGCTGGTGACTCTCACTTGTTTTGGGGTGTCCTGTCCTGGCTGCTTGGGGCCCGCAGGCTCCGTTGTCACGCTGAGGCCTCCTGGGAGTCGGTCCCCGGTGGGTTCTGGTCCCTTGCGGGCGGCCCTCGCCCAACCCCCAGGCTCAGACTAAGGAGCTGATGGTGACGAGCAGCCGAGCCGCGACTGACGGCAAATATCAAACGTGGCGATGGAGTTGAGAAAACAGCTTCTGTCCCAGAAGCGCCTCGAGACGCGTGGCGGGCCGTGCATCAGCCTCTGGACGGGAGGAGGGCAGGGGCTCGGGGCCCACACGGGGGCGAGTGTGCCGTGGGGTGCAGGGTACTGTCCGTCCACATGTGCGCCCTGACCCTGCTCTCTCCCCCTTCGTCTGTGACCAGTGGATTGTGTCGGGCTCGGAGGACAACCTGGTCTACATCTGGAACCTGCAGACCAAGGAGATTGTACAGAAGCTTCAGGGCCACACAGGTGAGCTCGGCATCTGTGCCGCCGCCCTCCTGCGCCTGGTGCCCCGGGAAACCCGACCCAGCTCACGTGGGCACCTTGGGCTGCCTCCGCCGCCTCCTCTCCTCGCCCGCGGGTGACTGGGGGACGCTGTCCGTTTTGGGGCTGCTTGCGGCGGGGGGCGGTGGTGGTGGTCTGGTCCTGGCTCCCGCAGCCTGAGGCCACAGCCTTTAACCTCTTCTTCCTGTCGGCCGGGCTGCCCGGCCCCATAGCCCATGCGGGCGCTGTGGCCTGTCCTGCGTGGAGGTGGCGCGGGGAGCGGGGATGCCCGCCGTCACCCCGGCTGCCCTCCGGGCCGCTGCTCTTCCCCCGTGCTCAGTGGAGAGTGGTGTTGAGCCCGTTGAGAATCAGATCAGAGTGACACCCTCCTCCCTAAGAAGGCAGCTCCGCCTGGGAGCAGGGCCTGACCCCGGAGGCCGGCACCGGCCTGCGGCCTCCATCGTTGGCCTGTTGCTTCTCCTCTGCTGTGCGGGTAGGACGCTCAGAGGCTCGTTTGAAGCCACTCAGGCCACAGGGAAAATTCTGGGGTTCATTTTATTTAAAAGCTACAAGCGCATTAACCTGACCAACCCCAAGTGGCAACTCGCGGGATCTGCCGTCCCCGCCCTGGTGGACTCGCAGAGTTGGCCCCTCGGGGCGTCCTGGGGCCCAGCGCTGGTGGAGGGGGGCAGCCCCGGGCTCTGGTCCAGGTGCAGAGGGCGCAGTGTTGACACCGTGAGACCAACAGTGGCCCCCAGCTGTGCCCCGGCCCGTGCGGCGCCCCAGCCTCCGGGCTGGGTTCTGGGCTTGGAGCCCCTGCTGTCTTCCCGCTCGGGCCCTGGGCTCTGTTTGCCGAGTGCACTGCGGGCAGGGCCCTGTGGGGAGGGGCCGGGTCCAAGGAAGGAACTGTTGTCGGCTGTCGTTTGCAGACGTTGTCATCTCGACGGCCTGTCACCCGACCGAGAACATCATCGCTTCGGCCGCCCTGGAGAACGACAAGACGATCAAGCTCTGGAAGAGTGACTGTTAGGCCCGCCGCGCGGGGGCTGTCGGGAAGCCCACCCGGACTGGCGGGGGTGCGGCTCCCGGAGGGGCTCCTGGGGTCCGGGCCTGGGGGCCGGAGGGGCTGGGCCTGAGCCGCCTCTGAAGACGACTTGCCTGGGGCGTGTCTCCCACTGGAGGGTTCTAGAAGTTGCTGGTGAAGTTTCTCGCCAATTCCTCTCACCGTTGGGGAAGAGTTCCTAGTCTATGTTGTGTTCAAAGAGAGTCAACAGAAATTTTTAATTTTTTATTACAAAAAGGTGAAGTTTAATTTACCACGAGTTGTGTGTTTTTCCAGTAACTGTTCTGTACCGTTTATGCGATTTTATCCCCCAGTGCCAGCGCTGTGACCACGGCTGTGTTGCTGCCACGGCTTCTGGCCACCAGCCTGGCCCGCCCGAACTTGGGGGTTGCCCCTGTCAGTGCTCAGCAGATGCCCTGGAGACGCTGTCCCGCCTGTAGCAGTAGCCACGTGTCTTGAGTCTTTCTGGGAAGCACAGAGCGGTGTGCACTGGCGTCCGGGTAAAAGCCTTCTGTGTTTTGGGGTTGTTGCCCCTGTGCTGTTGGCGTGGCGACCACACTCAGGGCTTCCATTTGTCCCACGGGCGGTCACACTACAGGCAGCGCCTCGGGCTGTAATGAAGGCAGGGTCGTGTGCGCGTGTGGCAGCCGAGCTCTCAGCAAAGCTTTCCTCCGTGTGGCTCTTTTAGGAAAAGTCTCAGTTGGCAGGAGGTTGAAAGGATTTTTCTCACGAGACGGGTCCCCCGAGTGATGTGCCCACTCCTTCCTTGTCCACGCGGGGTCCGGGGCCTCAGAGGGCGAGTCAGCCGTCCCCGCGGGCTAACGGCACATAGATGTGGGGCCGCGGGAAGGAGGCGGAGGGCCTAGTTGGGATGGTGCCGGGGACCCTGCGATGTCGTCCTGTGGAACGTGGCAGACGCTGGCGAGGGCGGGGGTGTGGGCGGCCCGGGTCTGGGGCGCACAGGCTGGTGCCCGCCCCCGCCGCCAACCGCGGGACCCATGGGCTTGGGAGCCGGCCCCTCGCAGGGAGCTGGGTGTCATCCGCCCTCCTCGCGCACCCAGCGGCTCTGCTCGCTGGGTCAGGGGCCTCTTTCCTGCCGGCGGGAGTGGGGTGTGGGGCGCACCGGACTGCAGGGCAGTGTTGTCGCAGAGCCGCTGCCGTCCACAGGGACCCCTCCCTGCAGCCAGGCCACCCTGGGGTTCCGATCCCGCCTGTGGCCCCGAGACCTTGGCTGGGGAGGCGCGTCCCCTGCCTGATGCCGGGCGGTGGGGCCAGTCCTTGGGTTCCGGGGGTCCCTGCAGATGGGGGAGCGGCAGCCCACCCCGCAGCGGCCACTGTGGCCCAGAGAGGACAGTTGCACCGGCGTCTGGAAACGAACCTCCCGCCGTTCCCCGCCCCCCCCCGCGCCACGTGGGAAGAAGCCGTGCGGACGCTGGCTGTCGTAGGAGCGAGTTGCTCCGGTGAAAGGACCCCCGTGTCGGCAGCGTCCGCACGGGGGACGCTGAGGCCCCGCGTCGGTGGCGGAGGCCTGGCCTCGGGATTTCCGAGACCTTGAGGTTCTTTGGGTTTTGTTGGTTCCGGTGTCGGACTCGCCCCGGGGGGAGGGGCATGCGTGCAGAGTGCCGTGTTCTTGAATATAGTTTATTTTTTCTACATTTGAATTCTCTGTTGTAGATTTATGTAAAAATACATTCTCTTTTTGAAAATAAAGAATTTCCTGTCTTGTAACTGTGTCCCCGCGAGAACTGTTTACCTTTCTTAACGTGTAGCGGCTTGTGGAGTGGGAGGCGGGCCCCGAGGCGGTGCTTCTTGCTGCGCAGGCTCTGCAGTGCCACGTGCGCTAGCGGAAGGTTCTTGGTCTTTAAAAAATGCCATTTTCTTACTATTATGATTATATATTTGTGCTAATTATCAACAGAAAAAAAAAAGCAAAGATAAATCACCCAGATGCCTCTTACCACTAATATTTTGGGGAATATCTTCTATTGTATTAAAAACAAAATCTTTATTGTGGAACATTTCGAACGTACATAAAAGTGGAGAAAATCCCTGTGTTCTATCATCCAGTTTCAAAAACTTTTAACCTCTTGTTTCAGGCATCCCTCCCTGGTTATTTGAGTATAAATCCCAAATGTTTTATAATTTAAGCAGTGAATTCATGGTATCTCTAAAAGATAATTCCCCAAAAGCATTACCCCAGTACCGTTTTCACACCTAAAATATGAATTCTTTAATCTAGTGTCCAGGTTTCCCTAGTCGTCTTAATATCTTAAAGTGTATGTGCCTACGTATGTACACACAGGTACATATACACATACGTACGTATACACCCGCGCACACGCACACAAGCTTGGTGTGAACCGGGGGCCCCAGCAAAGCCCCCGCCTGTGTTTCCTTCTTGAACCTCCGGGTTCCTCCGTTTCTCCCTTGGCATCTCTGTGGAGAATGGGTCACTCGTCCCCTAGGTGTCCAGGTCCGGGTTTGCTGCCGGCACCTCCGAGGGGCTGCCGACCACCTTCCCGTCTCCCCGTTTCCTGAGAGCCGGAGTGGACCGACCACCACCCCTCTCTGTTTAAATCGTCGGTCAGGTTGCTTCTATTTACTTTGACCATTTTAACTGGGTCCTTAAATGAGCCCTGCATTTGAAACTCACAGCAGTTTGTGCTCTGGACATAAAGGGGGAACCTGGTTCAGGGCATCTTCGGCCTCGCCTTCCCTGACCACTCCCGCCTGCTCTGCTCACCCCACAGAGGTCGTCTGCTTTGGATCTGTCCGCTAAGGCTCTGGAATGGTCCAGGATGTGAGCTCCTGGGGCTGGGGTCCTCTCCCACCTGGATCAGTGTCCCACGGAGGATGGCTGCTCAATTCCTATTTGTCCCCCGAATGTCTGTGATGCTGAAGAGACGCACATGGAAACTTTGAAGCCACCAAAGGCCTCAGACCTCAGCCACCTGCGGGACCTGGTCTGACCACCAGGTCACCTGCCTAACCTTCCCCGCCCCGTTCCTGCTTCCACGCTGAGACACACTGACAGGAAGTGGAAGCCACCTGGGTGTCCTGATGTCCGCTCCCCGGCCCTGCCCCCCACCCTGTGGCTGGGGATGAGGTGAAGGCACACCTGCCCCAGGTGCAATGATACCCATACAGGAAAGCTGTGATCCACTTTGTATTATGAAAAATGCCAAGCATCTCATTAAAGACCTAAATGTAAGGCCAGACACTATAAAACTCTCAGAGGAAAACACAGGCAGAACACTCCATGACATAAATCACAGCAATATCCTTTTTGATCCACTTCCTAGAGAAATGGAAATAAAAACAAACAAATGGGACCTAATGAAACTTAAAAGCTTTTGCACAGCAAAGGAAACCGTAAACAAGATGAAAAGAAAACCCTCAGAATGGGAGAAAATATTTGCAAACGAAGCAAGTGACAAAGGATTAATCTCCAAAATATACACGCAGCTCATGCAGCTCAATATCAAAAAAACAAACAACCCAATCCGAAAATGGGCAGAAGACCTAAATAGACATTTCTCCAAAGAAGATACACAGACTGCCAACAAACACATGAAAGGATGCTCAACATCACTAATCATTAGAGAAATGCAAATCAAAACTGCAATGAGGTATCACCTCACACCGGCCAGAATGGCCATCATCAAAAAATCTACAAACAATAAATGCTGGAGAGGGTGTGGAGAAAAGGGAACCCTCTTGCACTGTTGGTGGGAATGTAAATTGATACAGCCACTGTGGAGAACAGTATGGAGGTTCCTTAAAAAACTAAAAATAGAATTACCATATGACCCAGCAATCCCACTACTGGGCATATACCCTGAGAAAACCATAATTCAAAAAGAGTCATGTACCAAAATGTTCATTGCAGCTCTATTTACAATAGCCAGGACACGGAAGCAACCTAAGTGTCCATCGACAGATGAATGGATAAAGAAGATGTGGCACATATATACAATAGAATATTAGCCATAAAAAGAAATGAAATCGAGTTATTTGTAGTGAGGTGGATGGACACAGAGTCTGTCATACAGAGTGAAGTAAGTCAGAAAGAGAAAAACAAATACCATATGCTAACACGTATATATTGAATTAAAAAAAAAAAAGGTTCTGAAGAACCTAGGGATAGGACAAGAATAAAGACGCAGACGTAGAGAATGGACTTGAGGACACGGGGAGGGGGAAGGGTAAGCTGGGACGAAGTGAGAGAGTGGCACTGACATCTATACACTACCACATGTAAAATAGACAGCTAGTGGGAAGCAGCCACATAGCACAGGGAGATCAGCTCAGTGCTCTGTGACCACCTAGAGGGGTGGGATAGGGAGGGAGGAGATATGGGGATATACGTATATGTATAGCTGATTCACTTTGTTATACAGCAGAAAGTAACACACCACTGAAAAGCAATTATACTCCAATAAAGATGTTTAAAAAAAAAAAATGCCAAGCATCTCAAAGAGCCGAGCACGTAGCGTCGCATAGGTGTTTGTCCACGCGGCACACACGTGTATCACACAGCCGTGTATCACAGATCCCTGTGTCGCACCCCCCGCCTATGCACCCGCGCGCGTTACGCCCACGTGTCACTGTGGACAAGTGCAGCACACATTGTATAGCGATGCACCCCCGCGGACCACACGCCCTTATGTCCGCACAGCAAAAAAAAAACAGTGGTTAGATGCCACGAAGTAAGTGGCAATGCCTTAACCGTATGCGTGTTGTTAGACCCGAAGGTCTCTTCCATCCTTGTCAAGGGGAGTGCTAACCTTCTCTCCTTTCATACAACACGTTTTGGGTTCCGCGCGCTCCCTATTTAAGAACCCGCCTGCGCACCGTCTTTTGCTTACGGCGACTTCGGGTTCGCGCCTCAAACACGCTGGTGAAATCCATCGCATCCAACAGAGAGCCGAGAATAAGTCCTTTTTAAGTCGCTATATTATTTTAGCGCGATGAAAAAACTTCTTTTTCGTGTTCTAATATATTCATAAAACAAGCCAATCAGAGGCTGAGAGGAACATCCGGCAGTCCAAGCGTCCCTCAGGAAAATAGATTCCCCCGGAAACAAAACAGGGTTGGCGCGCACTTCCTACAGCGACACGCCTCGCGGAAATGGCTCGGAACTTTCTGCGGAAATGGAAGTGGTTGGTAGCGAATCAGAGGACGAGGAAGGAAGAGCCCCTCCACGGACATCCGGACGCGGCCCTGCGCTTGGAACTGTGGGTGCGGCGGGAGCCGGGGCGCGGTCTGCGCATGCTCCCAGCCTACGCCTCTCGTCTTCCGCGCATGCTCTGAGCCCGCTCCGCGCCATTTTTGAGCCGACGGTTCGAACCCCGGGGCGGGACGGAGTCTGCGCGGAGCCGGCTTTTGCTCTTCCCGTCCGTCCTTTCCCTAGAGTTTTAAGATTTAAATCCGATGCTTCGGGTGCTGGCCGTCCCCGCAGTGTAGACGGTGGGGCCATGCGGCCCCGGGCCGAGGCGGTGACGCCGTGCCTCCCCACGGCTGCGGGCGCGTGGTTCCCCGGCCGGACGCGCATGTGCGCTGGGCTCCGTGCGGCCGGGGGCGACCCTCCGATGAACCGCGCGGGCTGAGAAAGGCGTGTGCATGTGTGCATAAGCATATGTGCATATGTGTGCAGACACGCCTGCGTGTCCACAGCGTCCGTGCACGCCCAGGCGTCCACGAGCGCGCCCGTCCACACCGTGTATGCGCGCACAGACAGCACAGAAGGGCAGTGGACAGAAGGGGTGGGCGGTAGGTCCAGCCAAGGGACGGTGAGCCGGCTGGGGTGGACACGGCCTGCAGGAGGCTAGCAGTGTCCCCCATCCAGTTCTCCTTTGAGAAGTTTCCGATCAGCCGGTTAGTTACAGGTAGAGAGCTAACCAAGTGCGCACGGGAGAGCTCTGCCCAGTTTGCAGAGCATCGTGGGAGAGAAGGGAGAGAAGAGCCGAGGGCGTGACCAAGGGACAGGCAGGCAGCCACCAGGGACCGGGTCAGCTGGGAGTGGGTGTGCGTGTGCTCTGGGCAAGGCCCTGTCCTGCCCTGTGTCGGCGCTCGCTGGTGCAGCGCGGGGCCTGGGTGTCACCCCGGAGCTGGTCAGTACGGTGGGCAGCTGCAAGGGGCATCAGTCCTGTCTCAGTCACTGCTCTGTCCAGCTGCCCACACCGTCCTAGCGGCCGGGCTTCCTTAGTCTCAGACCTGCGGGGCTGTGACTCTTCACTAAGGACAAGCCGCTGCAGGCCGTGCTCAACACCCACTGTGTGCCAAGGCCCCAGTGGCCCTGCGCTAACGTCCTCCCGTTTCACGCCCCTCCCCCACGAGGTTGGTGCCATGAGCACCCACACTTGATAGCTGAGGACACAAGCCAGAGTGGTTGGGTGACGTGGACGTCACACCTCCAGTGGGGCAGCAGAGGGGTTAGAGCCGGGCTGCGGGGTGAGGGTCTGGGAGTCTGCTTGTGCCAAACTGTCCTGCTCCACTGCTGGGACTTATGCGCACAGCACCTCTGCCTTGGGCCTCCTGGGACCCTCTGGCCTGGGCACATGGGAGGGTCCATCCAGAGTGGCCCGGGGCCCCAGTGATGTCACCTCCTGCCCATCGACAGGCCGCATGGGGCCTTGCCCTTCCCTTGAGTCTGTAAGCTCCTGGTCCCCGTTGGCTTGGAACAAAGGGGCAGCTGGCTCCTCAGGAACCCCAGACTAGGCCTCTCA